GGCGCCGCCGCCCGGCCCGGCCCGGCCCGCGGCCGCCATGGCCCGTCGGAGCCGCGGGTGAGTGGGGCCCGTCCCCGCCGGGAACRGGCAGCCTGGGCGCGGGGAGGTTCCCGCTTGTCCCCGCCGGGTGCCCCATGGCCGGCGCTGGGCGCTGCTGCGGCCTCTGGGGCGTTGAGCGGGGCTTTGCGGGGCTCCCGCGCGGCGGGAGGCGGCCCCGGGGACGGGTGGGGGCCGGTTGGGGCCCCCCAGGCCCGCGTCTAACGCGTCCCGCGCCGCGGGATGTGCGCGAGCAGCCCGCGCTGCCGGCGCCGCTCCCTCCGCGCCGCCCGGCCCGGCCCGGCCAGCCCTGGCACCCGCCTCCCCTGCCCTGCTCTTCCCTTTGGGCCTGCAAGCAAGGAGGGAGAGTGATAATCCCTAAACAAGACGAGAACTGCCAGCCCCTAGATGCCACATCTTAAAATGAGGGAAAAAAACTAGCAAAAAGATGGAAAAAATGTGGCGTAGGAGCTGCCAGCACCCACCAAGACCCCAAAACTGAGGGTCCCCTTTGAGCTCTCTGTGTTGGAGTTAATGGCCCTGAGATTCAGGCTGCAGACCCGGAGCTCTGCACCCTCCCGGGCTCCTGCTGCTGCATCTGTGTTGGAGGAGGAAGTAGTGATCTTTGTTTGCCTATTGCTTTAGAGAGGACCCAGACGACTTGCTCTACCAGGACACCGACTCGGACGTGTCGGAGCAGCGGGACAGCAGGTGCAAAGTCAAGTGGACGCCAGAGGAGGTGAGTGGAGACCAGGCGCTTGCTGAGAGCAGGTGTCTCCGGGCAGGGCTGCAGGTGCTGGGCCTGTTTGGAGGCACCTCAGGGGCTTCCTCTGGCAYGGAGAAGCTGTAGGAGAACGGCTGGATGCCTGAAGATGGTGGATGGTGTGTGCTGAGGATGTCCATGTGTCGTATTTGATAGCAGCTTGCTGTCCCTGGCCTCTGGCAGGGCACCTGAGGGCTGGGTGCCACCATCCAGGTTCTTGTTGAGTGGCTGCAGCGTCACCTCGTGTCTTGTCTTGCCACTTGGCTATTGGGCTTTGCTGACCTGAGCCAAGATGCAGTGAGGAAGGTGATTCAGGTGAGTGTAAAGTGTAGCTGGAGAGTGGGATAAGGCACCTAATATCTGGGGCTCCCTAGGGAGCCCAGAGCGGTTCCAGAGGATGGCTCAGGCCTTGGTGAGCTGAATCACACTGTGCAGATGCCCTCCCTCTTCTGCAGCAAGAGCAGGGAATACTGAGAGCGCAGGGATTGTGGTTTAGTCACCTTGGCTGCGAGCCTGGAAGCTGTTGGGATGTTCTGCCCTCCTCCMAGTTCCTCCCTACTCTTTATTCTGTGTGAGAACTAGAAAATATCCCATGTCCCCTGGGGTCTGAGCACTGAGCAGGAACGGTCTTTGKGCAGGGATGAAGGCCTATGGGCTCGTGTTGGGCAGGGAATTGTTTCTTGGCTCTTGGTCCTGCCAGAGCACRTGGGCAAGGGGCACTGTAGCAGACTTGGCCTGATCTGTAGAAGTGGTGGAAATCTGTGGTTTGTGAGAGAAGTGCTGAAAGGCAGTAGAGCACCAGGTTAGCAGTCATGCACGTAGACAGCAAAGGCAGTGATTGTGTTGAAGCCAGGCTGTCTGGTCAGGGTTGTGCAGCTTCACTTCACCAGAACAGAACTGAGAGAGGCCCGAAGGTGACCAAAGCAGCAGAGCTTTTGTTCTATACCTCAGTGCACACGGCGGTCCTTGGACAAAGTCTTGGACCAAAGGGTCCACGTACTGGAGTGCTGCTAAAGGACAGCATGAGCTGCCTTCCTCCCCAGGATGTAGAATGCCAAAAAACACTTGACAGATCGAAAGATCACGCTCTTTTTCTTGATAACATCAGACCTGGGCATGCCTGTGGCACCTATTGCCTCAGCATATGTGAAAGTAGATGTCGTTATTCTTTGCAGGATGAGCAGCTGAAGATGCTAGTGACACATTTTGGGCAGAATGACTGGAAGTTCCTGGCCAGTCACTTTCCTGTAAGTGAATCCTTGCCCAGTTGGGAATCTTGGTGTATGCCTCTTGCTTCTTGTGCTCGGCGCACTAGTGACCTGTGTTTGTGCAGCAGTTTACACAGTGGGACTCTGGTCTGTGACCGCAGCTCCAGTCTACCATTAAGAAAACAGTGTTCTCTGAGGGCAGGAATATATCCTCCTTTCACAGGGGTGTTTAAGGGTGAGTCTGTTGGAGCTGGGATGAGAAACCGGGGCTCCTCTCTCTCTCTTCCGTGCCTGGTGCCCTAGCCTGTAGTACGTTTCTCCATGTGCTTCTGCAGGTTTTCCGTGGGACAGCCTGTCCACTCCTGTTGAGATGTGCATGTGGGGACTGCTGTGACCACAGAGGCTCCCGAAGCCTCCAATCTAATGCAAGTGTTTTCTCATTCCTCTTCCCAGAACCACAATGATCAGCAGTGCCAGTACCGGTGGCTGAGGGTGTTGAATCCAGACTTGGTTAAGGGCCCATGGACCAAAGAGGAAGACCAGAAGGTAAGCTGTGCTTCGTGCACAACTCCGCACTGCTCTGAGCAGCCACAGCTGTAACGAGCTGAGGCAAGTCTGGGCCTCAGCAGCACTGCTGTGTGGACTGGCAAGGGAGAGAGCACAGTGGGGAATTCACCTTAGTCCCTGTAGATCTCTCTGACTGGGAACACAGCAGTAAATAAAAAGGCTCTTCCTGTGCCACAGTAGACAATCTGAAGCAGACATTGGGAATTGGCTGGGTGAATTGTGACTAATGAGACTCCATTTCTCTCTGCTGATTCCAGAGTGAGCTGAGGGCCTGGTTCAGATAGAGGCATCACCTTCACATGCTTAAGAAAAGCTGAATTTCCCTTATTACACATTCTCTTCCYGAATTTCCTAGTTTGTCGCATTCCTTGTAACACTCCCGCTCCTTCCTTTCTCTCTTCTGCTCTCATTACAGGCCTTTGAGCTCCCCTCTGCCCTTCAGGCCTCCCATCGATTTGTTACCTTGAGTTTATCCAGGGAAACTTGTCACGTTGCCCTTCCCTCTCCCTGCAGCAGAGCAATTGCTGCCTGCTCCCCTCTGCATGTGCTGATGGCACCTGTAGGCTGCTTGGACCATGCCAAAGTTTGGCATATTTGGTGCATTTCACTGCACTTGGTACTTTGCAGCAGGGGCTTCCTTCCCTGGTATACACCAAGAGTCCTGGGTGAGGGGTGGGTTGTGGAGTGGATGGTTCTGGAGTGAATAGGGCTCATTTCTGCTTTGGGGCTTGCACTGCTCATCCCGCTGCTAGCGGAGCTGCAGCCCTTGGCATGTCTAGGGATAACATCCTGCATTGCAGGGAGGCTGGKCCTCTTGGGCAGGCAGAGCAGCGCAGAGGGGATCGGGACTGTTGCCATGCAGCCAAATTCCCAGTAGAAATGAGGCAGGAGGAGCCTTGGAGCACGTGGAGTTTGTTACTCATTCAGAAACAAGCACTTAGTTTTAAACCTGGGCCCCTCTGCAACCGGTGCACGTGGTGTCTCCATCTGTGCTTCCCTTGAGCACAGGTCACCTGCCTTCACAGAAGTCATGCAGCCAAATGGCTGGGTGGAAAGAGCCCTTTCCAGAGACCCGTTAGAGTCGTTGCCTGTGTGAGCGGAGGGGCAGCTGACTGATGCTATTGGATCTCTGCAGTGTTTTCTCCTGGGAGGGCCTTTTCTCTCTGCCCTTACCTGTCCCAACACAGGCAAAGAGCAAAGCCCAAAGACAGCTGTACTGACCCTCCACTCCTATGTTCCATTCCCTTATTTTCTATCCCCTCTTTAAAGGTAATTGAACTGGTTAAAAAATATGGCACCAAGCAATGGACTTTGATAGCCAAGCACCTGAAAGGGCGGTTAGGAAAGCAGTGCCGGGAACGCTGGCATAACCACCTGAACCCGGAGGTGAAGAAGTCCTCATGGACGGAGGAGGAGGATCGCATCATTTTTGAGGCCCACAAGGTCCTGGGGAATCGCTGGGCTGAGATTGCCAAGCTGCTGCCTGGCAGGTAGGGCCTCTTTGCTCGCTGGTACCTTCACGGCTGGGTGGGCTGCGGAGGGCCCGGGTGTTGGTCCCACACGATGGGGCTGGGCAGTGTGTAGAAACTGCCAGCAGTGCATTGCTCGTGATGGTGACTTCTGTTTCCTTCCCCTTTCTCTGCAGGACTGACAATGCTGTGAAGAACCACTGGAACTCCACCATCAAGAGGAAGGTGGACACRGGAGGCTTCCTCAACGAGGCCAAAGAGGCCAAGTCACTGTACTTGCTGGTGGAGGTGGATGGCAAGGAGGACCAGAATCAAACAGGGACTGAGTGCCAGGTACTGCATTTGCACTCTGCACATGGGCTCTGTCACCTACCTTTGCCACAGCCAGGTGTCTAGATAGGAAGCCTGAGTGCTCCCCTAGCCTTTTCCAAGGCATTTAAGTCCCAGGAGATCTCTTCCTCCCAGTGGGAAAGGTGTGATGTGTGTCTGAGTGTGTTCCCCCACAGAGAGCAGCACTCTGGTTATCTTCCCAGCCACAGCATCTTCTGTGCTGGAGTCTGAAAACCTGTTGCCAGTGGGAGAGGGACGCTGCTCCACACAGTGCAGTGTCTGGGATCACGGTGGGAGAGATAGTGTGTTTATTTCCCCTTTTCTAAAGGAAATACACACAATTATCAATGTGAAGAAAATGCAATTTTTTCAAAGGCAGGCTCTTGGAAAGTAAGAAATGCCCAGTTAGTGCTACCTGCTTCTTGTTCAACTTYTTCCTATTACAGTGAAGTCTAACTCAAGACTCCAATGTCCTGTGTTGCACAGAGGCCTCCTTCAGATGCAGTATGAGCAATGAAGGAGGATGGGGGTGTAAGAAAAGTGAGATAGAAGGGAAGGAAAGCAGGAGAAGCTGAATGTCCGGGGATCCTCGCTCCTTGTCCCCAAGGCTAGACCTTGCTGTCTTGGTTTCTTCTCATTGCTGGACTTCCTTTCTTCTTCAGGAGAAGAACACCCTGCCAAACTGGCCAGCTGATGCCTCTGAAATAAAAGAGGAGGATGGGAGCGATGAGGAGGTGACAGGCGTGCAGGAGTTACCCGCGGAGCTGCCGGCTGCCGATCTGGCAGGGCACAACCCCGAGGGGCCGCCGGGCGACGCGCTGCCCGAGGATGCCTCSGCGGACGTCACGTCGCCCTACAAATGGGTTGTGGAAGCTGCCAACTATTTGTGCCCCACATCGGTGCCGGCCTTCAATGAAGCTCTGGACATGATAGAGTCTGTAAGGAACCAACTCTTGTTCCTCCTCATGATGTAGGGAGACTATAGCACCTGATTCAGCCTTCACTTTCCCTTAATGAACTTAGTGCTGTGGGTTTCCAGGAGAGAGGGGGGTCTCTGACTGGACTGTGGCTTCCCACTGCCTCCTTTCAAAAGGGGGATTAGGCCTGTCCAGCTGGGCCAGTATTGCTCTGAGCCTGCAAATTCCCTGAGGTGCCCTTGGCTGTGGGCTCTCGTGTGTGAGGGTGTTGCAGTTGGCAAACCTGGTCTTGAGTCCTCCTTTATCACACAGGGAATAGGATTGTCCCCAGCAGTCCCCTGGCTTAAAGATCCTGGCTCCGAGGGCCTTCCCTTACTCCCCATCCTGTTGTGGGATGGGATAGGATGGGTTGAGAATAGCCCAGGTCCAATGGTAGCCTGCAGGGCAGACGCTCCCGCGTTGGGGTTGAGGCCACCTTTAGCTTTCAGTGCAGAGAGCCTCACGAAACTAATAACTCTGCTCCAGTAAAGTTGTGCTGAGGTCCCTGGGCTGCCCTAGGCATGCCAGGCAGAGAGGCTGCCCACAACTGGGAATCTGGGATGAATGTTGGCAGCAGCAGCAGACCAAGGCTCTCCYGGGTGTGCCCTGCAGGCAGGCAAGTCTCTGCTGCAGAAAGTCTCAGTCCTGTGTGCCTTGTGTGTGTTCTCATGTGTCCTGTGTGTTCTCACAGCCTGTGCTGCTGAGACCATCCCCAGCTGCAGCGAGGGCGGCAAGGCTTTCACCTGTGTAGATTCCTTTAGATTCGCTTCCAGTTAAATATATAACTGTGCTGCCTTTAGCAGGAAGTGTCTCTGCAACCTCCACCCTGGCTGGGGAGTTTCTGAGCTGATTATCTGTGAAACACCCACTTTGCATGTGTGTGGGAGGGCAGAGACTCCGTCCTGGAGGGTTTAATGGCCTGACTGGGGGCTCTTAGAGGCCTCTGTTGAGCTGTGCTGGGCATCTGATCACTGAAAAGGTCTGGTTATTTTTTAATCCGCTTTGAGGCATGTGTTCTACAGCAYGGCCTGCCTGTACTGGTGTGCCTGGGACTGTGGTTTGGTGACAAACCGCGTTTTGTTTTGTCCCCTCCGTGCCGGTGCAGCTGCTGGTGCAGCTGTACTGTGACTTGAACCGGTCTGGTGAAAAGAAAGAGAACTGCTTTACACAAACAAGAGCTTTCAGCTGGATCTGTTCCCTGCTCTGCTTCTCAGCTGTGCTGACAGCAAAGGTGGGGAGGAGGGGAGGTTGAGCACTTCTCTGCCTGTGCATCATTCAAATACTCTGCTTTCCCTCCTGGGCTGTTCCTGATGGTYGCTCTTGTGTGCAGGACCCCGATGGGTGGTGTGACCTCAGCCAGTTCGACCTGCCCGAGGAGCCTTCTGCCAGCAGCAGCAGCAGCAGCAGCCCCGCGCGGCAAACGCCCAGCAAGGCGGCCCCCTCGGCGCCCAACGTGACCGAGTACCGCCTGGACGGCCACACCATCTCCGACCTCAGCAGGAGCAGCAAGGGGGAGCTCATCCCCATCTCCCCGCACGCCGAGGTGAGCTTCGGCACGCCGCCCTCCGTGCTCAAGAGGCAGAAGAAGAGGAAGGTCTCCCTCTCTCCTGTCACGGAGAACGCCGCCAGCACCAGCCTTTCCTTCCTGGACTCGTGCAACAGCATGACGCCCAAGAGCACCCCYGTGAAGACGCTGCCTTTCTCCCCGTCGCAGGTATGGAGCGATGGCAGAGGCCACGCTGCCTCCCTTTGCTTGAGGGAGGTTGTGAAGCACTGAGAACATCAGCGCTTTATCAGCTTGCCTTGCTGCTCTGTGTTGCCACGAGCCCTGCCAGCTTTCTGTTTCTGCTGCCCTGAAGGAGGCAATGCCCGTGCACAGGGTACATGGTCCTCTCCGCTAAAACAAAGCGCAGACTCCTCATCTTCCTRTTTCCATCCTCTGCTCCTATAATCCCCTCACCATACACCTGATCTCACAATGTGCGTCTTACTGGAGCAGCACCGTGGTGCTCAAATCATGCGACGCTTCATACATTARCACAACGGAGTTCTGTCCATAAACAATAAAATCTGCTGCTCTGCTGTGTCCTCCAGCCCTGTTCCTGCAGCCTGCCCTGCTGCTTTCACCMCTAGCTGAGCCTTGCAGCATTTCTGCTGTGTTTCTGCAGCCCTGGGTCACKTGGGAGGGTATTAATGGACCTCAGATGTGAGGCCGGCAAGAACCAGGATTTGGGGACATGATCTGAAACATGCAGTTCTGCAGAGCGTGAAGGCCTCAAATGCCTGGAGTGAGTCTGAGAAAATTAAGTACATATCCTGTGTCCCAGACTCAGCTCCAGCCATTAGTGAATGTAATATAAACAGCTGTTCTCCCCTGACAGGTTCTTGGATATGAACCTTGTTTCTTGTAGGAGTAAAGCTATGTCATTTATTAACTGTCATCAAGTAAAGCCYTAGCAAAGAAAAGACAGTTTGTGATTTTCTTGTGATTCAAGTTGAGGACAACTCAATATAAAACTCAGCAAGTTGTAGAGAGTCTAGATTATCACGTTGCTTATGCTTTCAGGTTTGTTAATTTGAGTTGGAATAGATGTTCAGGTGAGTTCACAGCCTCCTTCCTCCCCAGACTCACCACTTTGGCCTTTTCTGGGCTCATGCAAGCAGAGACTTCCACTCTGTATCTGACTGTAGACCAGCTAGTCCCTTATGGGAAGGGATTAGACTCCATAGGTGGCGAGGCACCTTCCTGAAACTCTCATATATGTGCCCATAAACAAGATGATATCCACAGCAGGAGTCATCCTAGGTCATCCGTAGTAGGACAGACTCCCCTCAGGACACTCAGTGTTGGTAAGCTGGAAGGATTGTCCCTACACCACTTTTTCCCCTTTATTTRTGAAAAGCTGATAACTGTGATAACATGCTGGGAAAACCTGAGACTAAGTGTGTTCTCCTCTTTCCTTCCTGGCCAGTTCTTAAACTTCTGGACCAAACAAGATACCCTGGAACTGGAGAACCCATCTCTGACCTCCACACCCGTGTGCAGTCAAAAGGTGATTGTCACCACCCCTCTGCACAGGGACAAGACGCCGCTGCTCCAGAAAAACTCAGCGTAAGTCCTTTATTTCTTATGTTCTTCCTCACTTGTCCCCACCTGAGCAGCATCCTTCCCTCACGGGCTGTTCTGCTAACTGGGYGCTCCGTTTGTGAGGTGGTTGAGCYGGGCTGTACTGTGAGCAGCAAATTGTCCCCTTAAATTGCTGCTTAAATTGTGCTGAGGAAGCCAGCTGAGAGAAGTGCCTCAAACACACAGGGCAAAGCTGTAAGTGCAGGTSCAGGGCTAGGGGCACAAGCTCCTCTGGGATCCCCAAGGATGGATGGAGTTGGTCACCTTTGCAGGGACCTCAGAGGYGGCTGGGTTGGTTGCCATCGGTAGCAGTCCTTGTCACACAAGTGTTTGTGGTCCAGGTTGGAGATGGGTTTGGGAGCTGAGCTGAGCTAAGGATGCCTGCAGCAAAATCCAAGCTGTCATGTTCTTAGCTCAGTGAGCTCTCCAGCCCAGTTCCAGGWGAGCTTCCCCAGGACTTGTACTGGCCCTAATGGAAGAAGGGCAGGGCTGGGAAGTTCCTTAAGCCAATTTGCTCCCAAAGACATCTCGTCTCTGAGCTGTGGGTTTCAAGTGCCCCATCTACCTGGGGCTGCTGCCAAATGAGCACTATTGTGCCCAGCTGCTGGTGCACTGTGGCCTTCTGTGCTCATCTTTGCYTGGGAAACATCCCTGCACTGTGATCCCCATGGCAGCAGGGAAGGGATATGGGTTCCTCTGCAAGGGCTGTGCRGATCCAGCCCGCCGACTCTGTGCACTCAGTTTTGTCTTGCCCAAAGGGTAGTCCTGGATAGTGACTCCATGCCCGACAAAACCTTGAAGAGGGTGGTCCAAGCAAGGAGTACTTTGGTGGACCTGTTCCTGTAGCAGCAGAGCCTTTTGGAAGACTGGCTGTGCTATTAAAAGTGCCTTTAGTTCTGCTGATTTAGAAGGTGCCTTTTCACCTCACTCCAACCCAGAAGCTGTGCAGCCAGGTGGATGCTGCTGCTCTTTCCATGAGACACCTAACTGTCATGTATTGAGAGGGCTTGGAAGGTTGGAAGGTTATTTTTGTGGGTTACAGCAYGTGTGATCCTCAGCCTTTCCTTCTTTCTCTTGCCAGGTTTGTCACACCAGATCAGAAGTATGTGGTGGACAACACTCCTCACACCCCTACACCTTTCAAAAACGCCCTGGAGAAATATGGACCAATTAGGCCCCTGGTAGGTATTGGTGGAGCCTGCTCCTGCTGATGCTGGTGCTTTATTCCCTGGAATCCTTAGTGAATCCAATGGGATATGGGATAGGCTGCAGCAGAGCAGGGCAGTAGCAAAGTGGTGCAGGCTGGTAGTACTGGAGTGAGATGGGAGGGATGAAAGGGGATTTTCTATGAAGAATGTGCCATAATAAGTAGTCACAAGTCTCAACTGTTCTGGAAAACAACCCGAAACATCAAAAGTTGCCTTTGGATCAGGCTGCAGTACGTGGCTGTTGATAACCTAGGTGAAAAACAAGCATACAATATATTTGGGTCTCTTGTGGAACTGGGTCTCTTGTACGGACACAGCTGGGTGCTGTGGGGATGGCAATTTTCAGTATCCATGGGCTTGTAGTCACACTGGTCTCTGGAGGGGGCACCTCGAGTTGAGTGTCTTTGTGCCTGAGGAACCTGCAAATCTGTGAGACTGGGAGAAATTTCATTAGTCCTTTTGCTGCTGAGAAGCAAATACTTCTTCCTCACGTTCATCCTTGATTAAGAGTCTTATGCTCTATCCCTCCTCTCTTCACTTCAGCCCCAGACCCCTCACCTGGAAGAAGACTTGAAAGAGGTGCTCCGAAGTGAAGCTGGCATTGAATTGATCATAGAGGATGATGTAAAGCCTGAGAAACAGAAAAGGAAACAAGGGGTGAGTGGATCTTGTGTCCAGTACCTGCTTTGGGCCTGCCCTGTGTTGTTGAAAGGTGTTTGCTGGTCGTATTTGTCCTGCTGCTGATCCTAAAGGGCCTKTTGGAATGTGTGGCTGCTGCTTTCCCATCAGTGGGGCTTCTGGTGTGCCTGAGGTTAAGACCTGCTTGAAATTCTGCTGGCTGCATCCTGGTTTATGCTGAACTCGGTACCCAACTAGGAGATGCTGTGTGTAGCACACAGCAGATGCCAGTGGCAGACTGGGACCATCTGTGGTGTGTGGGGCTTCCAGGAGGCTGTGGGCTGGTAGACTGAATCTCTTGGCTCAGTTGCCATTGGTAATGTGACCTTCTCTTCCTAGTGTGATTTCTCTTCTGATTTGATGAGTTTTGATGCTTGCAGGAGAGCAGTGAAGCTGCCGTGCCCTGTGGTAGAGAAGGCTGCAGCACCACCTCTTCCTGAGGTGCTAATGCCATGCAGACCAGGGCTGATGTGGCCCTTTGGTGACAATTTGCTGAGCTGATTTGTGCTGACACTTGTGTCTCTGTGTCCCCCAGCTGCGCAGGAGCCCCATCAAGAAGGTCCGGAAGTCTCTAGCCCTGGATATTGTGGATGAAGATACAAAGCAAAATATGCCTGCCCTCCCCAAGACAATCTGYTTCAAAAGGGCCCAGGTGAGGGGTGCTGGGATGAGAGCAGGGCTGGAGGCGACTGCAGCAGCCAGGGATGAACTTGTTGAGCTCTTTTGGTAAAGATGCTCTGGACAGGGATCATGGCTGGATGGTTCTGTAATCCTTGGTCAGGATCCTCCAAAACTGCCTTGGAGAGTGAAGAGCTGTAGGAAGAGAGCTTTCCTGAGTGTGGTTTTTTTTTTGAAGAAACCATTGATTAGAGGGCAGCAAGGTGGACTTGGTATTAAATTCAAGCCACCAGTTCCCCTTCTCTGGCTGCCCACAGAATCTGCTGCTCAGATTTTTGCTGCTCCCAAGCTTTGTATGTGGTTGAGGAGGTCAGGAGCCTTTACAAAAGCCTTTTGCTTTCTGAYCCAAAGCAAACATCTCCCTTACAATAGAATATGTCATGTCATATTCTAACTCCACCACTTCTGCTTGCTTGACCGTGTGGGGCTGATTCAGGGAGATGACCAGGCAGAGCACCAGCCTAAGGAGACAGGGACAATTTGTCCTTTACCAAGATAACTCCTTGAATTGTGTTGCCACAGGGAGTGGGTGACACCTTGATGCAGCTCAGGTGAGAGGAGGAATAAGTAGATTGTTCCCCTTTCACCAGCAGCTTTGCTGTATCCTCAAGCTGTGCCTGAGAGCATTGCCAGGCAGTGCAGTGTCCTGTGGCTCAGTGCTGCTGAGATTGAGGGCTTGCTCTGCCCTTCTGAACGRTCTGGCTCTAGTTTTCCACCCATCACTGCTGCTTTTGTGTCTGGACGTTGATGAGCCTGGGTCATCACCGTGTCACTTGATCACATTAAACTGGCAAAAAATGCTTTATTTTTTGCTCTGYCTTTTTTACTGCAGCAATTTAACACAGACACAGCTGAATCCCGAGTCCTGSCATGCTGTGAGGCTGCAAGTAGAAAACACAGCCTGTAGGGCAAAGACCCCATGAAAAAGTTAACTTAAATTGCAGAAGAGGGTGCAAATTCCCTTGTGACTTCACCACTGCCCAGCTGATTTTTGCCCTGTAGGATGGGGAAGAAGCCTTGTCCTCTCATCCACAGAGCAACCTGACTGCCCTGCACAATGTTGGGTGCAGATGTGAGAAATCCAGGTCTTGCCAGCCCTCCGTGCCTGTGGGAGGCAGGAGTTGCTTGGCTCTAACATGACAGACGTTGTGTCTTTTTTGGGCTAGCAAACCAAGAAACCAAGGACAAAGTGGCTGCAGGAGCTTTAGCACCTACAGCTGCCTCTGAACGCTGCATTTTTGATGCAGGACTGCATTGTTGATGCAGGGCTGGATTTCTTTGCCAGGCCAAGTATACGGCGCTGTAGGACAAATTAGTTTTTTGGTTTTGCTTGTACAATTTTCTCTCTCTCTTGACCGCAGCCGGTGAATTTCCTGTCGAGATCCTTGAGTCTCTCCTCCTCGAGCAGGAAGAACGACAGCAGGTTGCTCAACAGAGCCTTTGTGCAAGTGCAGCCGGAGAAGATGTCCTACAGGAAGATGCCAAGCCATTTCAGACCCCCAGCACCGGTAACGCTGCAGCCACTRCTCTCCCATCAGAAGCTTAGCTAACAGTCAGCCCCTCTTCTTCCTCAGGAGGAAGAGGGAGGGGACACAGCCCTGGAGAAGCAAAATGCTCCCCTGGGGATGTCCGTGCGCTGCCAGGCTGGGTGCTGTCTTGGCATCGGGGTTTGGAGGTGCTCAACCAGCAGGGTCATCCCATAGCTCCTTCCCTTCCCCTTGCCAACCCGTTGTTCTGCTGAGGCTTGAAGCTGTGAAGCTGCTTGCCATGTTTAGCCTTATTTCCTTATGGGAATTGCATCTTGTCACAATCCATGTGGGAATTTGGGACTACTGACCAGCAGTGAGATGAACCTTCCTTTTCCCAGCGAGGGCTCCTAGGATGGGCAGTCTGAGGTTCATCCTTCTTGTTTCTCTGACYGCAGCAGACTGAGGTGCTGCCAAAATGCCAGTCAAAACCATTCCCTCCCCTGGGATCTTCAGGCTGTTCTGGGTTGTGGTGAGAGCAGTGGGGCAGAGAAAGCCCATATGCCTTCATCCTGCTCTCCACTGTTCCCGTGCCAGTGCAGAGCTCCAGGTGCCACTGTGTTTATTCACCCATCAAGCAAGTCCTGCTGAACTGGGTGCTCTTACACTGGGCTCCTGGGCTGTTTCTGGGTTCCCCATTGCTGCATCTGGGTTGTGCTGGGATCTCAGAGCCTGCAAACGCTCTCTGTGTCTCTGGGATATAAATGTTTTCTTGCCCAAAGACAGCAGAGCTGCCTGTGGTGTTGTTGCTGCTGCTGGCAGTGGCAGGTATTTATTAATGAAGCTYATTTCATTTATTAATGAAGCTATGGACCTAAATTAGCCCTCGAGAAAGCACTAGTTGCCAAGCTGTGGCCATATAGAGCACTTCAATGTTAGCAACCACTGCACCTTRGGCTCAGCTCTTTGCTGTACACACAAAAGGGAATTTGCAGTGGTGGGGACTGCAAATGGGAACCAAAACGGATGTTTTGATTGCATCCATCAGAGTATTCCCATAGGTTTTCTCAGTCTGCCAGAGTACCTCATATGAGCCCCTTCTACAAGGAYGGGTTTTATTTATTCTGGGTAATAMAGTTGTTTCTTAGATTTTATTTTTCGCTTGCCATTCTCTTTGTTCACCCGTGYTTTGAAAGAATATTTCCATGTTGTAGCKCTCTCACGAGGACTTTATACAGTAAGAGGACTTTCCTCTTGCCTACCTGTGGTGTAAGAGCATTATCTTTTCTCTCCACAGATGACCAGAGCTTGGAAAGCCGTGGCCTGTGGTGGGACGCAAGACCAGCTCTTCATGCAAGAGAAAGCTCGACAGTTCTTGGGCATGTTGAAACAGAGTCACACATCAAGGACCTTAATCTTATCATGAAGGATTGTTGTGCTTTTTATTTTTATAAAACTCTTTGTAAGTGGAGGGGAGGGAACCACACTGAAACAAATACCCTCTGCCAGGCCACCGTGTTGGAGGATTATGTATTTTTTTTTCCCCTTTCCTTTTTGTTCCCAGATAGATCTGAATTTTAATAAATTGGGCTAACTGCTGGCTAATAGGCGGGATGCAAGTTTTAAAATCTTGTAGAAAAGCAAGTAATGGAGAGGTACAGAGCGCGCAGGGTATAGATCACTCTCTGCAAGCCCTAGGTTCTCCAGAAGTAGAGACACAGGACCGTGGAATAACGTGTGAAATGGATGTTGGACACTGACCTACCTGCCTGGATTTCGTGCTGGCTGCTYTCATCCCTTGGAAATGGCTTTTGTTAAGATTGCTGCACAACTCCTGGCTTCGCCTGGGCGATGGAGGGCCCCTGGCTCTAGGATGGGCAACGTGTTACCTCTGGGTGCATGGAGGTGGCTCCGCTCGACACTGGTCGCCTGCTCCCTGTGGAGCTGCCCTGTGCCCAGGGGAGCAGCTGGTGCCTCCTCAGGGACGCGCTCTCTCTTTAAATAAACAATGGTGCTAACGACACCCTTGGGTGCTGGCTTGGCTTGACTTCTTCCACGCTGTTCCAGGGATGCTGGAGGCAATTGGTGCTGTTCCAGGTAGAGACACCTGCCCAATGGAGCCATTGGGGCAGTGTTTCCAGGCTCCTGGGAAGGACATGGACCAGGAGGGCTCCCCATCTGCTCCCCCTGCCCACAGTGCTGCAGGCAGCCCTGAGGAGGTCAGATTGATGATTTCAGATGTTTTATGAGACACTGAGATCAGCTGATGAAAAGCAAAGCTACAGGGCTCATTTTAAAGGCAGGGAGGGGGGRTTACTCAGAAGGAAACCTTGATAGTTGGACTGGGTGTCTACAAATGGCCCTTGGAGCTGGGTACAGCCAAGGTGGCCCTTGGTGGGATGCGGTGTCCGCATGCGCAGGGTGGAGAGGCAGAGGAGGCTGTATAAATCTCATTGCAGGTTGYGCCTTACGTGAGAAATACGCAGCTGAAAAACCCACGCTGCCAAACTTGCTAACAAGACCTTGGATCCTGGGAAACGAAGGATTTCTCGCCGCTCGGCTAATTCTTTGTTTCCACAAGCTCTGGGCCCGAGCAAAGCTGGGAAGTTGTTCTTATTTCTGTTTCTCAGAGCCACAATGTTTGCTTTGGAAATATGGCTGGAACCGCTTGTCTGTGAGCAGGGCTGTGGCTACTTCAGTTGCAGGGCTGTTTTAACAGAAAGTCATAAAATTGTCCCTCCTCGTTTGGCTTTGGGAAGGACGGGGGCCTTTGTGCACCTTCTAGGATGCTTTTTTCCTCATTTTTTTAGCTCSCTTTCTGCAATAGGGCAGAGTTGCCAGCTGAAACCGTGGAGGACTGAGTTCCCTGGACTGGGATGYGCCCTGGTTTCCTGCTGCCCTATGGCTATTCCAGCCTGGGCTCAGGAGCCTGGGGCAAGGAGACCAAGCGTTTCAATGGGTGGAGGAGACGTGCAATGTGGAGCTGGGAAAGCTCTCCCAACATTGTGGATGTTTCCCAAGGAGCAGGAAGGCGGAATTTTGGGCTTGCTGCAATGGTGCCAGAATGRCCCTTTGCTTTCAACTGGGACAATCTCTGTGGGATTAAAAAAAAGGAAGAAAACACAAATACTGGGGTAAGAAAATGGARAGAAAATGCCCAAGGTAGGGCCAGGTGTGTGGCTTGGGGCGGTTACSTGTGCTGGCCCCAAGTGCACCCTTATGTACCGAGCAGTTGCAAGAACCTTGCAAGWTTTCCTGTGTTCTGCTCTTAATGCTCTAACCAGCAGGTTTGGGAGGTTTGTGAAATTAAAAGGACAAGTTTAGGCTGATAGGTACCCGCTGGGGCCTAGCTGAGCGGCTCCCGAGCCTGCTCGTGCTCAGAGCATCTGCTCCGAAGCACCTGATAAGAGTCGGGGCAAAGAAAAAACGTGGTAATTTTATATTTAATTTCACTGATGCACTTGTTTGCTCCTGTGTTTGTGTAAATGGGGTTTTGAACTAAGCCRAAAAAGTCACGGTTAATGTCTAAATCTGCCATTTCTCATGCCGGACAGAGGCAGTGAACACAAAATCGACATTTCCCCTCGTCGTTGCTGTATTTTCTTTAGGGATTAATTTCTGCCCAGTGATCCCTGCAGCACGGGGACTCCAGAGCCCCAAACCCTTGGCGGGATCGGCAGCTGCAGAGCTGGGCGGCGCCAATGGGAATATCCCCTTTGAGGGGTGTGGATTGTCCCATGGCCTGGGCCTCCCTTGATCCTTCCTTGCAAAAAGCTCTAACTTCAGGGGGGTGAAATGCTCCTTTCCCTGCAGGGAGGGAARGGTCCTTCCTCCACTCTTAGGGGAGAAGGAAGCTCCGGGCTGTGGYTTAGGATTTGGTCTGCAGGGAGGCAGGGGATGGTTTGGGCTCCTGGCCGGGTTTTTTCCTCTCACTCGTTCTCCGCTGCCGCCGCTAAGCGGGAGTGTTGCCACACGGCAGAGCCAGGTGCTGCCGGGCCCCTTCTCCTGCTCCTTCCCAGGGAGCGGGAGAAAAATCCAGAGGAATGTTCCGCGCTCAGGCACCTGTGAGCACGGCTGCTACTCCAGGAAGGAGCTCCCAGCTCCAGGGAAYAGAGACATCCCCAGCTGGCAGGCGTGAGGACCGGCATCAGCAGCCCCTGGATCCCGCATGAGATGCTCCCTTCCTTGTGGGAAGTGCTGCACGTGCCAAGGGGAGGGATGTGGATGTGGGTGTCTGGTGCCCTGGGAGCAACCCTGGTGCTGGATGAAGGGGCACCAGGAGCACAATCCAGCTCTGGGGGACTTCATTACAATGAGGACAAAGCCACTCTATTTAACTCTCCCACTCTCTTGGTGGGTTATTTGGGGCTGAAGGTCTGAGCGACCTGAAGTTTAAAGATTTAGATGAACAAAATATGATCCTTCCTGTGTAACTAAATGAGTTTGACTACATGGACCCCAAGAGACTTATTTGTCCCCAGAGCATAGGGAGCCATGAGGAGCAGCGGTGCTAATGAAGGGCTGGGTGCTGCCGAGGAGGACGCAGCTCAGCTGAGCTCCACCAGCTCATCACAGCCTGGGGAAGCTCTATGTGATACAGCTGGAACAAGGCTGGGCTTAGATAGCTCAGCTTAATTAAATCAGGATGTAATTCAACCCTTTTAACACCTAAGACTCCAGTTCCTTTGTTTATGCAGTGTAGATAACCCTGTGTGTCTGAGCACTTATCTCTCCCTTGAAAGGGCTTTGGGATCTGCAGGAGGACCCTTGGGGACATGTGTGCGTGGAGGCCCAGGGAGGCCTGGAGGGACCCTGGGGCCATGTGCGCACAGAGGCTCAGAGAGCCCACGGGGCGTGGTATGTACAGAGGCCATGGGAGGTTGTGTGAAAGCCTGCAGGGTCCAGGGGCTACCTGCGCGTGCAGGCCTGGAGATGCCGCACGAAAGCCCAGAGGGTCAACAGGGACATCTGTGCAGGGAGGCCTGAGGAGGCCCCATGAAAGCCCGGGAGGCCTCCGGGGCCAGCTGCACATGGAGGCCCAGGGAGGCTGCAYAAAAGCCAAGAGGGCCCCAGGGCCACCTGCCCACAGAGGGCCAGGGAGGTCACACGAAAGTGCAGAAGGCACCTGGGCCATGTCCATATGGAGCCCAAGGGAGGCTGCACGATAGCACCTAGGGCTCCTGGGGTCACAAGCACATGGAGGCCCAGGGAGGCTGCACAAAGGCCTGGAGGGCCCCCAGGGCCAGCTGCAAATAGAGGCAGAGATAGGCTGTAAGAAAGCCTGGTGGGCCCTGGCACTGCTGTGCATGGAGGGCCAGGGAGGCCACATGAAAGCCCATAGCGGAAGCAGCACAYGCCGGTGCTGGAGATACTGCACCTTTTCAGTGAGCACTGTGTTGTGGCTGTGCGACCTTGTCCCTTAGTCACTGTCATCTTGCCTATAGATGGATTTTGTGCCAAGAACAGTCTCGCTGTGTTGTGGAGGTCATAGCTCATGAGGGTTGTTTCGGAGAGTGAGAGCACATCAAGCTCTCAGTGTTCAGCTGCTGTACAGAGATGGGTCAACTCTAGGGACCAGGCACTGCTTGAGCTCGTGGGGCTGGGAAGAAGCCAGTCTCCATCCACTACGTGCCCCTGTGCTTTGCAAAGCCTCCAAGATGTCCTGCTTCTTTGCATCCAAGATGCCCTGGATGTCAAACCTCTGCCGCTCTGCAGCCAGTTCAGGTCACAAGTTCATGGCTGTCCTTTTCCTGTCCTCTTGGAGTTCTCTTTAGTTTTGTCTTGTTTCTGCTTGTGGCTTCCTTTTTTTTTTTTATTTAAATGTCTGTGAGCTGAAACCCTGAGGTTGCATGTTTGCCTAAGATAGTAACATAATTAAACCTTCCCAGCTGCCGTCTCTGAGTGTGCTCGCCACGAGTGCCAATTAAAATAAATGCAGATTGTTGGCAACTTAAAGGACAAACAAATTACTTTTTGTCCAAATATCAGGCCTGAATGCCGGGGCCATTAAGGTAGTCCACATTGGCACCTGCATTTATGACCTGCTTTGGCTCCTTTTAGCGAGGGAAGGACCTCAGTGCTGTTGCTGGTGCAGGCCAGGAGCACAGAGGGGCCTGTGTTGGGTTGGCTTCTGTGCTGGACCTTCACGCTAATCCCTTGAGGGACAGGAGGGTCTGGGAGAGCAGTAATGAGTGGGACACAAGTGTCCCGCATCAACCTGGGGCTAGCCCTGGTCCCTATTTGCTTTGGGTGCTCCAGGCCTGGCTGCCACGTGTGGAGGTACCAGGGCCGCCTGTCCCCTCRTGGGCTGGATGGGTCTTTAGTGCCTCCTTGGTGGCTTGAGGCCTCCAAGGGCTTCTGATGGACCATGCGTCCTGCCAGAGCTGTGGTGGGATCATCCAGCTGGTGGGGTTTAAGCTTTCTTTCCTTCAGGCAACTACTTTAATTACGATCTTGTATCAATAATAATGAAAATCAGGGTTTAACACTGTTGGCTCTGGGTGTCTATTTTTCAGCCTGTTTACCTCCCGTTTTGTTCTGAGAAATGATTAATTGTCTCCTTGGACAAGATTGTCCTCTAAATTATACTAAATTGGTGGTAATTTCTGTACTATTTCTCACTGTGTAGAGGGTGATTTGTTGTTTACAGACCCCTCTTTCTAGCGGCTCTTTTTGGGAGGTTCAGCTGCCCCGAACGGCAACGTGGGTGGAAGATCTGGCTCCACATGCAGAATTTAATCAAAGTGCTGATTTTCTTCCACAGGAGGAAGGAGCAGGTAGCTCATAGAACAAGTTACCCTCTTTTCCCTCTGTGCTGTCCCATTTTTCCAGGCCCATACGCTACGTGTGCTGCATCCCAGTGCTGCTACTTGGTGTAAGTGCTGTCAGGTTG